TCTGGAATACCTGAAAGGAAGCTTAATTTTTTTAAGACTACATTTTTTTCCCTAAGTTTTCAGTTTTATTGTGCCATTTGGTGTTAATCCTTTTCTTTCCAGGTTGTATGTGGCTCAAAGTACATAGTAAGAGGAGAAAATGCCCGGGATCATGTGGACTTGTTGGTTTCCTCCCGTCACTGGCCTCCAGTGTACGTTGTTGATATAGCCTCTTCAGTGGCACTGTGTGCAGACCTCTGCTGTCCTGGCCTGACTTCCCAGATGTGGGGGAAAAACCAGGGCTGCTTCTCTGACCCCATGGATCCTCCAACGGTTAGTTATATCCACCTTTGCACTCTGCTATGCCAGTCCAATATGGAAAAGTTTTTCAAGTGAGATTTAAAATAAAATTAAATTAAAAAAAAAGAAAAAGAAAAAAGTATATGTAACCTGCATTGTGCCTCAAGATAATTTGACGTGATAAGTGTCTCCTGACTCACAGCTTTGCCAGCGCATAGCTTCTGAGCATAACGGAAAGCGTTACGTGTTGCTTGGAGCGTTGTATTAGGTTCGTGCTCCTTAATAGGAAGAGCTGTGCTGGAAGTGCATTGTAACAGTTCAAATCATGAACTCTGGAGCACGTCAGTTATTTTGACACAGCAACTCACTTCTCTCGAACTACTGCTATTACTTGAGAAATGGGAGAGGAAGAGGGTTGCCAGCGCCTTGGGATTATCTCTGAATGCATACGAGCGAGGAGGGAATGTACAGAACCACCTTTGTGGCATTTAGGGGAAGCCTGAATCAGTTAGCCCTCCCTCTGTCCCGGGTCATAGGGCTGGTTGGAGTTCAACCAAACGCTAGTTTTGTCTTGTTCTTATCTGTGGGGAAGTTGCTTCTTGTTCTACCTGATGTGTGTGTGTGTGTCTCTCTCAGTATGTGTCCTGCCCTGAACTGCTAGACCAGCACTACAGCGTAGACATGACTGTGGCTGAGCACTCTCTTCAGCACCCAATCACCAAGTCGTCCGCACGCCGAATTGTTCACACGGGTTCGGAGCAGAACAGCCACCGAGATCCAACGGCTCGGCATCACTGCATCTCCCTGTGCCGAGAGCTGGAGCCTTACAGCGCCATCATCGCTGCTATCAACGACAGCAAAACGAGCAACATCCGCCAAAGGCCCATCACCTTCGAGAACGCCACGCACTATTACCTCTACAACCGCCTCATGGACTTCCTCACAAGCAGGGAAATTGTGAATCGGCAGATCCAGGAGATCGTACAGAGCTGCCAGCCTGGGGAGGTGGTAATTCGCGATGCTCTGTACCGGCTTGGGGTGGCCCAGATTAAAACAGAAACAGAAGAGGACGAAGAGAGGAAGCAGGAGGATGACAGGGGTTGCTGAGTAACAAAACAGCTTGTTGGTTTCTCTCTCTGGTCCTGTGGATGGGTGGGCTGGGCCAGCTTCTGCAAGGTTTGGGCAGCTGTCTGGCTTGAGAGTTTATTTTTACAGGTTGGTGATGTGATGCCAGTGGCTTTGACTGCTGTTAATGACCAAAGAGCTGTGTGCTTCCATAGTGTCGTGAGCGCTGCTGTGTGCACGGGTCTGTCACCCCCCTTGCCGAAGGCTGCAGCTGCCTCCCGAGGTGTGCGATGGACCTGTGTTCAGTGGCGTGAAATGCTGCAGCTGCCGAGTGGAGAAGGGAGAGGTGTTTCTGGTAGCGGGGAGTATGTGTGGTCAAGCGCACAGGTTTTTTAATTCTGAATCTTGCTTGCTGACTTGTGCATCTTGATGGCAGGGCTGGGGGTGTGGGAGCAGGCATGAAAGGGAGACAGCCAAGAAGCTTTCTCGCAAAACATTCTGAATAGAATAGCTTAGGACACTGACTCCTGCTTGGAGATCTTGCAGAGCTCTCATACGCCTTGGCTGCAAGGAGTCTTTAGTCGAGGAGAAGGAGCCATGCGGCTTTAACCTGCTGTATCTGGGGAGCCTCCCTGGAGGCTGCACTCCTGGGTCCAGGATTGGGGGTGCTTCGGCTACAGAAAGTTTCTAGAATTGTTTGTCCTTTCACGTAAGCACTAATGATTTAGAAACTGAAACACAGTGAGCGAAAAGTGTTCTGTATGTTAAAGGAAGAATTGTCTGAGTGAGCCCCAGGGGAGCCAAGCTCGTTGGAGGGCTACGTGAGCGCTGTGTAGGGCGGTGGGGAAGGACACTCAAAATTCCTGTGCTGTCCCCTGGACACTTTTTTTTTTTTAGCAGTTTCATTCTGTTCAAGGACTTGCATTTCTGTTGTCCTGCCCTTAGAACAGAATCACAAAGACCGTGGGATGAAGGAGAAGCGATAAATGCAGTGTCAGCAGAGCGAGCAGAGTTCGGTATTCCACCCTCAGAGGAGGCGCTGGGAGAGCTGTGTCCGTGTGTGCAGCCTCAGCGCTCTGTTAAGGCGCCACATTTGCCCTGCTCGTGTCCACGCAGCCCTGCGTGGGTTAGAGAAGTCTTATGCTGCCCAGGTTGCTTCATCAGCTGCTTGAGAGGAGTTGTGCTGAGACCTCTGCCCCTACAGCCGTGTCTGAAGAACACCCTGGGCTGCGGCTGTAAAGCTTTGCGCGTTGTCTGCCACCAGCTCGCTGTTGCTGGCGGTGAAGGTGAAGGTGGATGGATGTTTGCTGGGACCCGTGGAGGAGAGAAGCGGGATGCTAGATTGTGAAGTTGCCATCCAAGGAGTTTCATTTTGTCTGGGTGAGCAGGGGGGAAGATTCAGAGGCTTGTGGTGTGGTTGAAAGCTCCCTTCTGTGAAGGGGAACCTACTGTTAAAGTAAATGTATTAAGTCTGAGCAAATGCAGTAATTATGGCTTGGGGTTTTTCTGTTAAGAACATTAACTTATTATAAGAGACATTAGTGACTTTTTTCAGTCAGTGATAATGTTTAATAAATTATCTCCAATTTTTGGGGTGAAACTGTGGCCAAGTGACTTGTTTTTGTGTACAAGACCTGGAGGACTGCAGTGGGAGAGCACACAAACACTGTGCACGTGCGCCACCGTTTCAGTCTGTGCTGCCATGGTGGTAGGGAAAAGCCTGGTATTCTCAGAAGCAAGGTGTTCTGAGAGGAACAGCTCAAGAAATTGCTTGGGCCACCTCACCAGAGCATCAAATAAAATTATCCTGCTAAATATAGCTAAGGTATAGTTCTTATAAGTGGCAAGAAAGTAGCTTCTGCAGATGGCTGACTCCCCTGGTCTACCTGCTCTGGTCCCTGCACAGGCCAGCTCCTGAGGTGAGTTTCATAGGAAAGAGTCTGCGCCTTCTCTTCACGATGTGTTTAACAGCCGGGGCTGGGGCTCCTGCTGCACCTAAGCCATTGCTACAGGAGGTTCTGCTGTGGTAAGCTTCAGTCTCTTGTCGCCAGGGCCCTCCTGCCTCTACCCTGCCCTCGGCATTGCCCTGCCTTTGCCACGCAGCCTGCCGCCACACACCTCTCTCAAACACCGTCACTGTTTCCACACATCCCATCATCACAACTGAAATGACTCCCCTGTTATATCCATCCGTGGGGATTACTTCATTTTTCCCAATTACAGGCCAGTCAGAGCAAAGTGCTTTAAAACCTTGCCTTTAATAATTTTTTTGCATTACACAAGATTGAATGGTTTTGAGAACTTGCAATGAGAAGTGTCTGAGGAATTGGAGCAGAGTTGCAGGGTGCAAAAGGATGGGCCAGTGCGTCACCCGTGCTCTGATCCATTCCCCTCTGAGAACAGTCCTTAAAGCCCTAGAAGAAACTAGTTTTGTTAAACATCTTATTTTATTCTTTATAATGCTGACAGATAAAAAGCTAATGTATTTCTGTTTAGTAAGGAGAAATGAATCACTTGGTGTTAGCATAAAACCAGGTTTAACATAATCAGAAGTGGCCCACAGCGTAACTGCTCACAGCCTGACGAAGGCCGCCTGCCGTGCAGTAGCTCTGTCTTGCTGTAGTTTGCCCGAGCCCTGTCAGTGCTTGTATCTGGAATATTGATCCTTTACCTGCAGTCAGGTGAAGCTACAAAGGTTCGTTAGCTACTTCTGATAGCTACACAGGAGCAGGTGGCTGTGGCATTCATAGTATTGAACAAGAGCTAGATGAGAAATAAGTTTAAGGGCATTAGGCCCTAGCTTATGAAAAAAAATTACCTTAACTATACTATTAAAAATACACTCAGGAAGATATGTACAAGAGCATATCTATAATTGTGACAAAGGCAGTGATTGCTACATGTTTAATAATTCAGAAGTTTTGTAGGATATGTGTTATGTTGATCATTTCCAGATCTGTTTAAGCTGCCATTCTTTCCTGGGTTGGGGTTGTGTTCAGTGCTCACGTGGAAGAGCGCTGGTTACTTCTGTAGTTTACCTGAGGAATAACTGCCCCTCGCTCCTGTTCCTGGGGCACAAGTTCACATCACCCTGGGGTTGTCTCCTTGGCTCGCTTTACCCAAACACTCCCTGCAGAAGCATCAGCTGCAGAGAAGTCGGTTGCGTGAGGAAATGTAGAGGTTAATGCATATTTAATGCTAAGTAGAGGCTTTACCTATCTCTAAACACTCGCCCTGCACCGTCCGGAGTCAGAGTGACAACAGGAAGAGAACAGGACCACCAAGGAGGGCTGCCTCCGGTGTGTGGAGCAGTTCCAGCTTCAGGGCTTAGTTCCAGATGTGCTCATAAGGCACGAGGGTTCAGTCATGTGAGTGACTTTTGGAAATGTCTTACTTGGCTGCAACTTGTATTTAAAAAAAAAAAAAAACTACAAAAAAACCTCACCCACCGCCTCCTGTGGGGGTGGGGAGGCAGGTGAGAGGGTCCTCTCTGCTCCTTGTAGACATGGAGCGTGTTATCGTCCTAACAACTCTATGCTACACTTGAGATAAGACCTTAGGGACCCCATGGTGAGTCTCGGTTTTGAGTCGCTCCAGCGCTATCCTGTCAGGGAGGGAGTCTGTAACGCTCATCACGTCAGAAAGCACAGAGAGGAGAGCCAAAGCGGGAGGAGTCTGCGTCCTAGGGCAGAGCAGAACCGTGCGCTCTGCAGAGCCAGGAGGACGGGGATCTACCCCGGGGCGATGGTACCAGCTAACAGAACTGATAGTTGTTGCTCTTGAGAAGGGGCTGACCGCTCTCCTCTTGCTCACAGGACTCCTCACAGCAGCCAGAGGTATCGCAGCCGCTGTCTTCCTCAGCAGTAGAGGGGAGGTTGGTGTAGTCCTTGAAAGCAAAAAAAAAAAAGAGAGACACCCACCCCAAGTGTGTTTAGGTCCCTTCAATGGTGTACGACGTCTGGGTGACCAGCTAACTCAACACTACCCTTTGCTGTGGCCACGGGACACGGCTAGCTGGCAGGACAGGCATGCCCGTGCTTTTGCAGAGCTGCAGGACAGCTCATCAGGAGGCAGCGTGCCTTTTGTCCAGCTGCGCACAAAATCCAGGGGAATGAGGCAGGGCTGCTGCGCTGGCGGTCGTATTGCTACCTGTATTGCTGCAAAGCAGCTGTATTGCTTTGTCCAGCCTCCTTTGGTCAGGGTGGGGAGTGACTGAACCCTTCAGCACGGGAAAATCTGGACTTTTCACCAACACTGAACTGCTCCCATCAGTTAAAGGTAAGGGACATCACCAGGAAAGTTACCCAGGAGCTATGTTCATGTAGGGGGAAAGCATGTCTCCCTTCTTTCTCCTCCCCAAAGGTCCTCACCTGCTCCTTATGCACCTCCAGTTCTTTCTGGATGAAGCAGCCGATCTGGTCGAAGGTAGGTCTCTCCGTGGGCTCCAGCCTCCAGCATTGCTGCATGACGCTGTACCTGCAGAGCCAAACAGGGACAGGGCGGTTGCACTGTGCTGCTGCAAAGCTGCGGGAGCGTCTGCAGCCCCAGGCTCTTCCCTGCAGCGCTTTCTATTGCAGGCGCACGGTACTGAGCAGTCCCTTGTCTTCAAAACCCGTGGTCAGCGCATGTGCAGTGCTCCAGGGAAAGGTGAGCACAGAAGTGGACAGAGCAAAGTTCTCTGATCTATCAACAAGGGGCTTTATGCTGCCAGTACTTTTTTCTTTAAGCTTAAACTCATTCCCTTCCTGTAACCTACTCAGGCTTCTCTTCTCACAGTCCTAGGGTCAAAAGTAGCTGACTGAAAAAAAAAAATAATCCACCAAATTCAGGAATGTAGGCATACAACATGAGCTCTGCCATCTTCCTGTCCATAAAGAGGGGAAATACTGGATGGAGCATCGTAACTGACTGCCCCAGGTCTTGCTTTCCTACAGGAGCAAGGAGCAGCCTGGTAGGATCCAACCTGAACCTCAAGGGCAGGCAGACCCGTCACCAAGGTCCCTGTGCCACCTCCCTGCCTGTCCCCCGTGAAGTGGCTCCGGCCACCCGTTGTGTGCAGCTCAGCGCGTCCACTCACATTTTCAAGGGAGCGAAGTCGGGCCTGGCCATCTGGTACCCCTGCTTCACCATGCTGTAGAACTTGCTGTTCACCACCATGCCGGGATACGGACTTTTACCTGTGACAGTAACAGGAGCAGAGGCGGCTCTCAGATCAGAGGCTTTAACGCTCCAGCCTTGGGGGGGTGAGAAGAGGCAGCCTGGAGCATCGCCTGAGCCAGTGCTACTCGTTCTCAGGGAGTTCTGGGTTAGAGCAAATCATCCAGGATCCATTGCTTTTAATGGTCCCTCTGGAAGCATAACACGGCATTTTATAGCCCTGATAAAACCTAGATTTTTGTCAACCTTCCTCCTTTCTTGGAAACTTTTCTGCAGAGACATTAGGGCAGTGGTAAGCCATGGAAAATGAAAGAGGTTTACAAGCTCGCTTCTTTCTTACCAAGGGAGAAGATCTCCCAGAGAAGGATGCCGTAAGACCACACATCGCTCTGCACTGTGTAAATGCAGTCAAAGATGCTCTCTGGGGCCATCCATTTCACGGGCAGTCGGGCCTGGAAGAGCAAAGAGTCCTGCAGACTGGGACAAACTGGCAGTTCAGGCTACACCCTGTCCTTCGTGCTCCAGCTGCACCCTACCCCCGTACCTTCTCTTCTCCCCATTTTAATTACTTACATTGCCTTTTACAACATAGTTGGAATCATTCATGATATCACGGGCTAGGCCGAAGTCACAAATCTTGGCTACCCGTCCATCTGATACGAGCACATTCCTGGCTGCTAAGTCACGGTGGATGCACTGGGGAGAAGAGAGCGCAACTGAGACCCAGCCAACGTCCCCCAGCAGTCCCAGTTAATTCCCTACAGCCCAGGCCTGACACCGAAACAACACTTAGAGGCAGGGGGAACACGTACTGCTTAAAAAGCCCCTGTAAGAGGTACCACGTACAAGGAATATGGGCTCTCTTGCAACCACTTCGTTTGCAGTGCTAAGACATTGTGGCATTTTATGCCGAGTCCTTTAATCACTCATGGGGCCGCCGTCTTCCCCGTGGGAGGAGGCTCAGAGCCAGGAGCTGCTGACACTGTGCCCCCATCTCTGAAACAGTCATACGGTTACTCTCATACTCTAGATGAGCCAGCTCTGGCAGACAGCTCAACGGCCACTTTCGGTTCCTTGTCCCTGGGGCAGTGGGGAAGCTGCCAACGCGAGAAAGCTTTGCATCAAAGTTTCTGACCTCATGTAAAAGCTGGAGAGAAAGTGTTGAGACTAACATGATGTGCAGCCCTGGGTTCTCCCCCGTAACACTGCCCTGCTGTGATGGCCTGCCGGGAGACCGTGGGAGACAAAGGCTCTGAAGGGAAGACCAGTCACCATGGCCCAGCGTGTCTGAACCCAAACAACAGAGCAGAGAGGCCCATTTCCAGCAGCAGCTTGCCTGAGCTTGGCCACCCCATCCAAAAACACCCTGAGCCTTGTGCAGACAGGATGGCTGGTGCCTGCTGGCTGGACTGGCGTTTCCTAGTTGGGATGCTGGGGGCAGTTGTCCTCTTGGCACTCACGTTCTTTGATGCGAGGAATGCCATGCCCTGGGCCACCTGGCTGGAGAACTGTAGCAGGTCAGAGAGGTTGAGGGGACGGAGGTCCTCCCTGGTTTCATCATCTTCCTCTGAGCTTTTCCCTGAAATTCAAAGTGAAGTTTTAGAGTTGCTGCAAACCTGGTGAGTAATGCAAGCTATGTTGTACCCTGGTTCCCTGGGGCTAAACCAGACAGGATCGCCAGAATAAAGAAATAATAAAAACACAGAAATGAGCCTTTAACTCACCCCTGGCTTGCGGAGAATCTGATGACGCTGAAGATGATGATGATGATGACACAGGCCTCATTTCAACATATGTTTCCAAACCCTGGCTCGAAAAGCCACTGTCACTGAGTCAGAAGCAACGGAGATGGAGGCAGGCTGTTAGCAACCCTCCAGCAGCACCTTCTACCCTTCTCCACAGCCACTGAGAGAAGAAACCCCATCCCTGCCTGCAGGAAGCAGCTTGGCTGGAGGCTTAAGGGCAAAGGGAAAGTCAGCGTTGAGGCTGATTCGGAAAGGGGACCCAGGCACCCCGTGGTATGGGGCTCCAAGTACTGCTCCCCTTTTGTCAAGGGATTGCCCTTAGCTGATGGGGAGCGCTCAGCCTCTGGTCCCGCAAAACCCACGCGCCCAACAGTGCAGGAAGCCCCAAAAATTCTGATTGCAGATTGTGGGAGGGCAGACTGGACTGAAGCCTGGATTTATTGTGGGATATTCAACGACTGCTGTCAAAGACTTTGAAAAACTTGGAACCGTAACCAAGTCTAAACACAGGCAACCCCAGGGGCTTTCACATCCTGGTATTCTGCAAGTCCCCAGAACTTTGGCCTTAATCTCTCCCCAGCACAGCCCTCTGCACTTCTGCCAGCAAGCACCCAGGCCCTGCGTTGCTCAGCCCTGTGGCCACCAGAGCTCTGCTTTTACCTGCGGATGTATTTCTTCTCTAGGTCAATGTTTTTGTAATCAGCAGTGCTGTCCAAAGATGTGTCCAGAGCAGAATCCTGGATAATTATGGATTCAGCCTTCTTCCTCAGGAAATTCAGCAGATCTCCGTAGCGGCAGTACTCGGTAATGACGAGGATTGGGCCTGGGGGAGAGGCAGAAAAGGTTCATTAAGAAGCGATGTTACCATGCCCTGTCCTGAGGATTGCTTCCCCTGGCAGCAGAACCCACACTGCACATAAGTGTATCTGGAAATGGCCAGCCCACAGGCCCTCACAAAGTTATAGGTTCAAAAAAGCCCGCCGAGCTCATCAGCTGTCTCTGTTGTGAGACCGAGGAGAGGTAACAGCCTCAGAGGAGCAAGGCCATGGGAGGGGTCCATGGGGGAAGCAGGGCTGTGGGATCCCACCTCCATAGGTACAGGCTCCCAGCAGGTTAACAATGTTCTCGTGGTGTCCCAAGTGGCTCATGATCTTCAGCTCGGACATGAGAGCCTCCTGCTCATCTGTGTCTGCCGATGCTGCAAGACAAGGGGAAAAGGGCTGTGTGAAGGAGTGAGGGAGGGACAAGGAAGACAGATGATGGGGGAGGACAGAAAAAGGCGTAGACAGAGAGATGGAACAAAAGGAGGAGACACTCAGAGAGGAAATTGTGTCCTCTGTCTGTGCCTCTGGCCACATGTGTCCACAAAAATGACAGCAGCGCAATTCCAGCACCCAGTATTTATCACAGAAACATCTAAAAAAGTAGATGTTGCAGCCTGGGAGCACAAACACATGTGCTGAACACACACTACATCCTGCCCAAAGAGGCTTGGGGGATTTCAGCCTTTGCAAGTTGCTCTGGGCTTACACTTTAGCATCTTCACAGCCACTTTGAGGACCGAATCTTCTTTGCCCAACCCAAAAGCGGTGGCTTCTACCACTTTTCCAAAGGCTCCTGCTCCAAGAGTTTTTCCTGCAGAGGGGAACAAAACATGCCTATAAGATGCTTTATAGAAAGAGAGTGAGCAGTTGTCCTGCACGCAGCCTTGAGGAAATGTCTGGTGGGTGGGGATTCCTGCTAAGCCCAGACGAGATGACACATCCCTTAGTCAAGAGCTGGTTAACATCTAAGGGGAACTCTACTGTGAGCCAAGATGGTATGAAAGAGGCCACGTCCAAACATGGGCTCACCGGCTCTATGCATTAGGAATGACCCCAGATGCAAGAGGAGGGATGTGATCCTCTCAACCTTCCTTGGAGCAATGGGGGGGCTGGAGGCAGTTTGTACCCTGGCATTTGCTACCCTGTGTGGAAAAGGACAGCGAGGCCTGATTAAGGATGTTGCTGTAATGTCTGGATGCAGCTTTGGATGTTGCCCAGTTGCTTTGGCTTTGTCCCTTGGAGCATTTCAGCTCTGTGGTGAGCTGCATGCTACCAGGCAAGCAGCAAGGAAGGTTTCTTACCAAACTGGAGGTTATTCCTGGGAAACTCCCATTTTTCATTGTATGGCAGTTGAGTGGGATCGATAAAGATGTAGTTATTCCCTTCGCAGGCCTCAATGATCTTCCACCGCACCTGGTACTTGGGTTTCTGTAAGGAAGAGCCTCCAGTTATTCAATGTTCCTCAAGTCCTGAGGGTTCCCCAGTCCCAGCATGCACTCTAGCTCTCACCCTGCAGGCATAGAGGGAAGACTTAGGTTTCAGCCCATCAAATATTTCTTGCTTTCAATCTGGCCTGAGAGAGGCTTTGTCTGGACAGCCTGGTCCCTTTGCTGTTACAAAGTCCCCCCAAGTCATCACCTGTGACTAAAGGAGGCTCTCTTGCCTCTTTCACTTAAAGTAGCCCGTTGCCCTCACTTGGGATGGCAGAGCTGGGAGAGACAGCACCAGACCACTGGCTGAGCTGTACCCAGCTGGTACTGGAGGAAGGTGTCCCTGCTGTGTCTCCTTCCTTGGTACCCTGGGTTGCTGATCACAGCAGAAGGGTGGAGCTGGCCCAGCCCCGCTTCCCTTACAAGGGGAAAAAAAAGAAATGGAGAAAGAGAAGTAAGAATTTCTTCTCTTTTTCCACAAATCTCATGGCAGAAGTAACCAGGCAAGGACAGAGAGAAGCGGTGCTGGAGCCCGTGGGCAGAGGCAGTTGCCAGCTTGTGCTGGGTGTTGTCATTCATGTTAGGGAGGGCTAGGGAGCCAGGCTGGAGGCACAAATACAGAGAAAGGCAGTGAAATAGCTTGCCACGAGAATACTGTGTGCGGCCTTTGCTCCTGTACAAGGAGACAGGCAAGGACCTGCAACCAGAGTGGCAAAGGTGGTCTCAGGTCCATCAAGACAGACACAGGGAAGCATGGGTGGAGTGACCATGGCTGTGATGAATCACTTCATGCCCCAGTTACTGGGAGCTGTGTGCTGAAATGCTTCTCCTCACCACTTCCCCTGGATAGTTGCAGAGAAGGATGCAGCATATGGGTAGATGCTCAAAGCTAGGTTAGCACAGGCACGTGGGACCATAACCAAGGAAAAAAGACCTGCAGTTTTGATGCGAAGCATCTGTTTTCTCCCCCACACCACTTCTTTTTCCCTTGCCCAAGAGTTGAACATCCATGCCCATGCAGGCTGTTGAAAAAGGCCCAGAGAGGATGCTCCAAGCAGCACAGTTTCTGGTGGAGGTCCTTCATAAAGAATGTCACGTGCATTCAGTTTATTTGCTGTTGCCTGCTCCCAGAGGGTGAGCATTGCTGCTTTCTGCTCCATGATTCACCTAGCACTGCAGCAATCAGCCATGGCTCAAGAAGCCCATGGCTGAGATAGATAAGATTGTTTATAAACATGTCCTGCTTCTCTTGGACTTGCAAGGCCTTCCTAAAAGCTATTTCTTCAGAGCTGTGCTTACACATCCATCCACCTCTCTCTCTGGACTACTGGCCAAAGACAGCTCTGCCTGCAAAGCTGTAGGTGCCTGTTTGGGAGAGGGCTCTGCTGGATGTTCTGACAACCAGCACCAGAACTTTACTGCAAAATTTGCAGCCTTGATGGGCTGTCAAAGGAAGAGTGCCAAAAGGGAGAGCTGAAAAAACCAGCAGATTTTCACCCACTGATGAAGCAGAGGTGGCTATTGATTGGTACAGTTTATGGAAACAACTGAGAAGGAATCCAAATGCTGAAAATGAGTCTTGCAGAGAAAACAGGGCAAGTTCTTGTATAAAAATAGTGACCAAGTCTTCCTGGAGACAAACGCCTTCTAACATCATCCTGTTTCCCCATAAAGACAGCTTTTTATAAAGCAGGGAGGAGAATAAAAAGTCGATGCAAGTTGAAAACCACTTTTTTTTTTCCCCCTGCTTAATTGACTGCATGGATTCATGGTGACCAGAGCAAAACCAGCTGCAACTGACAGCACAGAGCAAGTACCTTTGTCTGGCACCAAGGAATATCCACAATGACCTCTGGGCTACAGGACTGAGGGATCAGGGTGGGAGAGGTGTTTACACACTGGGTTTGGTGCATGAGCCTTGCCCTGCAGCAGGAAACTCCTGCGGGAAGTTGGGAGGCAGTGGAGATGAGGAGGTAGCTTGCCTGGTACCTGCAAGCTGAATGTTCCCTGCCTGTGGCTGCCAGCAGAGGCAGCGTGGTCTCTGAGGCTGGGCAGGTCTTGTGAATCCTTGCTATGCAACAGGGAGTCTGACCTGGTTGTACTTGTAGAGGAGGAAGAGGAGTAGGAGGAGCAGCAGGACCGATGTGCCCAAGCAGGTGGAGAGAACAGGGCTGAAGAGCTTGTTTGGGGGGGCCATGACATTTCCTGGAGGAGCAAAAAACCAGGGATGAGTAAACCACTCCTATTTCAATCCCATCTTTCAGAGCATTTTGCCCAGCTGTTCACTTAGGCTTCCCCTGTATGCAACACAACCCAGCACTGGCCTCGGAGACACCCAAAAGAGCTGCTGGGAACTGAGGGAAGTTCTTGATGCCAAACTCAAGGCTGCAATGGTTCCCCCTGTGCACCCCAATTTCCACACAAAGAGCACCAGGTGCAGGTCAGACTGACTGGGGACCAAGATCTGTGCAGCAAGAACAGGCCCATCAAAAGATGCAACCCCTGGACTCCAGTGGGCTGAGCAGCAGCTGTGCCCTGGAGCTAGGTCCTGCAGTTAAAAGGTGTTCATGGCGTGGGTCAGGCTTTGGCACCAGGCTACGCCCACCCAGCAATTCCCACATGGCTCCTAGGACCAGCAAATGCCAAAGCCTCCCACCTCCTGTGAAGATACAGGGCTTGTGGAATCTATTCCACCTCTCTTGCAAGACAGTAGGGATATACATATAGGAAGATGGGCTCTCAAAAGCCCCTAAATTCTCCCCCGCTCCACCAAGCTACCAGTTTGTATCTTACTGGTGATGGTGAGTGAGTGAAACATGTCTGAAGCATTCCCCTCTCTGTTAATGGCCACACAGCAGAAGGTGAAATTGGCACCCAGCTCCTGGAACGGGACAACGCTCTCCACCTCCACCTCTTGGAAGGGCAACATATTCATCACCTGGGGACTGGAGTCATTCAGTAGCAGCCTATAGTCCTCGTTGTATCTGCAGAGACACCAAGCAGGAGAGAATGAGAGTTCCTCTGCAGCATAGCTGCTCATAAGCGAATTGATGCCTGTATCAGGCTAGAGAGGAGACACTGGGAATTAGGGTTGCAGCTCTGTGAGACATGTTACTCACTGCCTGGTTAAAAGACCTCTCCCTGAACATCAAAGACCTGTACAGACAGAGCCTTAACTACCTTTAAGTGGCTAGAGCTCTGGCAGCAGTTCCCTCCTTTAATGGGGCTGGTACTAAGACACAACCGCCCCTTTCCAGGCAGCTGCAGTTGCCTTCTGTCACGCTGTAGCTCAGTAAGCCTGTGCTCTGTGGAGCCTCAGGCCTGTGGAGATCCCAGAAAGATGACTAGGACCAGCCAGGATGTAGCTCTACAGCAGCCTACACCAGGGCACGTCTCAAGGGACCCACACGTTCCTTGGAAAAGCATTGGGAGAACATGAATCACAGGTGGCTGAACCCTTCAAGGTCAAGGCTTCAGGAGTAGTACCTGCCCCCTCTCCTCAGACAGTCCCCAAGAGCTTCTTTTTTCAGCAGGGCAACATCCCTGTTGCTCTTACTTGAACAGGCTCTGCTGTATTGCCTGCTCAGCAAATGCCAGCACAGCGAGGGCAAGCACACACCTTGGAGGTGCTCCGTCTCCTGGGCATTTCTTACCTGTCGGAGTAAATGGGGCACTGGTACCACTCAATGCGTGGGGCAGGGTAGCCGATGGCCGTGCATTGAAGGATGCTGGAGTCATTGTCTGGCACCTTGATTTTGAAGACCCTTGGAAGAGCTGTTAGGGAAGGCAGATAAACAGTGAATGCTACGACCAGAGGAAGAGCACGTTCCCTGTGCTCTGATTTACTTTCCATGTGTGCAACAATAAAACACCAGGAACCCCTGTGCTATGCATAGGTTTGAGCTGGGTCCCAGATGCAGTCTGGCTGTGTGTCCTGGGGGCACAGGGTTGGAAGCACCCTGGTACCCCACCCTGCTTGCTGCCAGCTGGGCACCAGTCCCAGGGCAAGCAGGGTGAAAGAACAGGCAATGCCAAGCACTTACATTTCACAGAGATACTGAAGGTAACTGATGCATTGGTCTCATTGTTGAGGGCATGAAATGTATAGAGACCTCCCTCTCCTTCCTGCAGGCGGGTCAGGAAGAGCGCGTTGTTATACCTGCTCACACAGAGAGAGTAAACACTGTGAAGAAAGCTGTGCTGAGGAAACTCAAGCACTCACACAGTCTTGGCTCAGCGAGATGCTGCTGCTCCCTGTGCCCTGGAGTGGGTGAACGCTTCCCAGCACTAATCCCAGCCCACGAGGGGAATCTGCTACTTGCTCCTTCAGGGCAAGCAGGGAGGGTCTGATCTTCCTTAGAGGAAAGACCTTTTGCCACCAAGTGCACAGCACTTCTGAAAGGCTGCGGGTGGGTGAATGCTCAGAAAGACAGGAGAGTTTAACATCTAAATCATTGCCTTTGAAGGGCTGGAGGATGCTGGTCCTCCTGCCTTTGACAGAATGAGTTATTCTTCCCATTTCTTCGCCCATCAAGTCATGGTCCCTAGTGCCCACTCCCCTCCGCCCCTAGCCCATTTCCCAGATCCTGATGCAAGAAAGAGCTCGCCCTAAAGCCATCACACTTGCTGAGTGGCACAGTTCCTCTTGTGGATTATTTTGGGTTTCTAAGAAAATGAAAGGGGAATTGCCAAAACTCCCCACTAAATGGACTGATTCTTCCTTTCAGTCTCCTTTTGGCCTCAGTTGGCTGTAGGCGTTGGAAGAGCAGGACTGTGCCCTCCATTAGGTCTTATCCACATAACAATTTTTCCGGCTTCTCTTGACCTGGGGCATACAGTGCCGCTCGGTACATACACTCTCCAGACTGCAGAGAAAGGGACAGGTCTGAGGAGCAGTGAGGGAATTCAGGTTTTTGTACTGTTCATCCACCCCTGCAATTTTTTTCTACAAGGAAAGTGTGAACTTGAACAACCAGACCACAAAAGTGACAGCGACTTCCACAGGGTTTTCTAAAGAGAAGGCTGCCAAGTTAGACAGAGGTGGTGTCCTCCTTGACCTGATCAGACCTGCTCACTGTGGTTTGTTAATAATACTGGAAAGAGAAGGCAGAAAGGCAGAACAGTTCCTCTCTTTAAAATCAGAGATTTTTCTGTAAGCCAGTAGCATGGGGTCTGCGTGTCTCACAAGGAAAGCGTTGTTGGAAACATGCCATGGCCAGTGTCAAAGAGAGAGAGCACATACCAGTTGTTTTCAGAGGTCATTGTGTCCTTGAATGTGGTAATCCCAGAGTTCTTCAAGGGGTTCGTGTGCTCCCAGGCCCAGTGGAGAAGTTTTGGGTAAGCCTCAATGTGGACCTGCAGCTTCAGACTCTCTCCCAAAGCAACCTCCTGGCTGGTGGCTTGCACTGGGGTCAGGAGCACATAACCTTTCTCTGCAGGATGGAGGAGAGCATGACCATCAGCAGCCATGTCCAGAGACCTGGAACCAGCTTATACCAGCTTCATAAATGGACCATTATTGGAAAGGGCAGCTGGGGCACTGCAGGAGGGAATGAGGCATTACACAGATGGTGTTGCCAAAGGAGTACTTTTAAGTTGCTTCTTTGTCATGGCAGCTTGGATTACACTCTGCCTGAGGAGACCTAGAAAATCTTAGCGAACTTTCATGGGGGAAAGAGGTTTTACATGCTGTATCCTAATAAGCGATGAGGCTAAAACTGTACCTCCTGATCATCCATAGAAGAAAGGCCCCTTAGCTAAACTCCTGGCTTCTCACTTGGAAACAACTCAGACCAAGCCCTCTTTCTCAGCCATGGTATGCAGCGGCTTTGGGTCATCAGCAAACCCCAGCCTACGAGCTGTGAGGATGAATTTTCTGTCTTGAGATACAAACAGGTGTACAATAGACCTGAATTCCCTTATGTGGATCTGTTACTGGAAGAGACAAAGATCCATACTCTGCTCATGTGGCTTGCCCTTCCTTCTAGCCAGCCTTTCCTGGTCTTCAGCATAATGTTGCCCCAGTCTTTTTTTGTTTTAAAGCTGTTTAGATATACACACAGAAACTGAGAAGAGCTTTCCAATTTTTCATCCAGAATCCAAAAAATGTCCTCCTGCCCTCCCAAGACTTGAAGGGAACACCAGTTCCTGTCCTAGCAGCTCCACAGTTCTCACGTGAGCCTTCAGGCACGAGCAAGAATGATGTTTCCAACAACAAAACTAGGAACAAGATGGAGGTAGAAGCAGCAAATACTCAAGGCTAGGTGTGATTCAGCCCACATCTTCCTTGTCTTTTGGGGAAGCACTCACCTACTACCTGAAGCGTTGTCGAGGCATTCCTCTTCCATGGTCACTGCTGGAACAAACAGGGTGTCGCTGATGAAGTAGTTCTCATTTTCAAAGCTAGGCTTTTTAGTTCTCCTGACCTGTCAGGCAGAGAGGGAACATCAGGCGCTTTCTTGGAAGGGCAGAGGATGGAACTGAATATTTAACAACAAACATACCCACCCTCTCCTGTTCTGGGCTGCTGAACTTTGTTATAGAGCCCCTGACACTGAAAGGCATCTGTGCAGAGACCAAGAGGCATAGTAAACCTAGGTATTCAGGGCAGATATTCCCTGTATGTTACATACATTAATTTCTTGTATGTTATTTCAACTCCTTAATAAAGGCATCAGATATAATCAGAACTTCTAGCAGGCCTTATCTAACCATCTAGAGGTTAGAAGTCAGCACAACAGAGATTTTGAAATGCATTCCTTTTCTTCACCCGTATCTTCTCTCTGGGGAACTGTCTGTCCTGAACATGTTTGCTGCTTTATAAGCCCCAGCAGGGCTGGGTGGAAAAATGTTGCCTTAGTAGGTACTGTGGCTCCTGCTCAATGAACTCAGCTGAAAACATACTTTCCTTCTCTCTTGCAGTGAGATCCTGACCATGGGCAGGTGTTTCTTAACCCTGTGCCATCTCAAGGAAAGGATGGCCATATTCAGGTTTCTACAGTTTGTTTGAATAGCTGCTTTGGTTGGGCAGTTCAAGGCTTTGCTGCAAGTGACTTGGGTCTGGGCAGTTCTTACCACCCTATATCTCCCAGTTTCCAGGAAAGCCCGATACCCCCTTGAAGCTGCACAACTTACAGTCTTTGCTGCAGTCACCCATCTGATGTCATACTTGTGGGAAGGAGCAATTACTCTGCAAGTGACTTCAAAAGGTTCACCCACGATTCGCACGTGGTCTCTAGGGTCCATCATTACTGACACAGGCTTCTCCAGTGCTACACAAAGGCAAGCAGGGAAAGATTCAACGTCAGCTGGTCCAGTAACCCTGTGTGCTTTGGAGACTCCCCAGGGCCTGGCTACCTTCTCCTTTCCATCCTCTTCAGTCTCTTTACCCCCAGCCTTCTTCCCTAGGGATCATCGCTCCTATTTGTGCACGTGTCTATGGGAAGCAGGACAGGTTGGGGACAGCACAGCAGTCAGCACTAAGGGTTGAAAGGGAATGAGAACCTTCTGCCATGGTTACATCCTAAGCATCAGGGCCTGAGGACTTGGAGAACATCAGAGACATAGGTGGACTTTTTTTCCTCTGTTCTGTGATAGTGCCTGCAAAGATCTGAACACTGCTGAACTGATGGAGACCCACCTGAAGGAGCCAATTTGCCAGAAGCTAATGGAATTTTGTCTCCATTAAATACCCTTTAAAGATTGGAGGTTTAGAAGGTCTTTCCTACCACAGGCAAGGAGTTTTTCCTTATCTACTGTGGTCAGCTTAACTATTGCTGTCTCCCTGAGGGCTGCAGCAACCCCAATCCTTTACCTTCTTCCACAATCAGTCTTATTCTTGGTGTCTTCTCTATTTTTCCATTTATCACTGCTTGGCATCGGTAAGAGCCTTTCTGCTTGCTTTGCACATTATATAGTGTTATTCCTTTCTCAGTACTGAAAGAATAGTTGGTCCCGGGTGAGAGATGGGAGGCATCATCCATTATCAGAGTCACGCTGGATCCATACTCAGGGGCCGTGATGAGACAGGGGAGCTCAGCATTACCACCTTTGGTCGCAAAGATCCGGAAAGTCGGGATGTACCACACGTTATTGGGATCTGCAGAGGAGACAAGATAGGCCAGAGAAGGGGATCAGAAAATGCATGGAAGCCGAGAGACACATTCCAGCAAAGGCAAGCCTCCAGCATTGGTGCCCAGTGGGAGTTCGATGCTGGGGCAGCCCTGCTCAACGCCTGCCTGACTCAGCCTCCAAAAACTCACAAGACAAGCTCTATTTCAGCTAAGGCATTTGAGGAGAGCACAGCAATCAACTCACAAATGTAGATAGGCAAGAGAGACTGAGAAGTATGCTTACCTCTAATTAAACTTTTCACCATGGTGTTAGTTTTATTTATCAGACATGCAGCTTCCCTGTCCAGCACTGTATCTCTGGTACAGGGGAAGGGGTGAACCCAAGTGGTGGAGCTACCACAGCATAACTTCTTCTGGGGTAAAAGAATATTTGGGGTTCAGGTCATGTTGCGAGGATGTGATTCGTGTGACTTTCCTTTATCTGGGGTGCTGGCAATAGAGTTCTCTGATTTCCAGATCTCACTGCTCATTACAACACCGAACAGACTTTCACCCCTGTTTTTTTCAGGAAGGGAAGCCAAGGTAAATGAAGGGAGAGGTCCAGGCCACTCACAGATATGCATGGGACGTAGATGCTCTATACTCTACCCCAGTGCTTCAGCCATGGGCCCCATTGTATGCAGGCTTACATGGCTGTGGGTGAGCCATTGCCCCAGTAGGAACCTGCACTGCTCCCCCAAATACATGCACAACCACAGCCATAGAGAGGACCTGTGTAATGGCTGTGCTCCCTGATAGGAGGCCGTTCTGCCAGCATATGTGGGAAGAGGGAAGCATGGTTACCTCGCACAAACAGATGCACGGTTGCAATGCCCTTGTCGCTGCTGTTGACATAAGCACACTTATAGGTGCCTGTATCCCTGTAAGTGGCCTTGGGAATACTAAGTGTGCTGCTGGTGTGGTTGCTGAATGTGTTCTTTTGGCTTTTCCATTCAACTTCAGACTCTCCTGAGCAGTGCAAGGTGACTGGATCACCCGTGTTGACAACCAGAGCAGGGAGGTCAGGGCTGATCACTGGGGATGCCAAGCCTACAAAGGAAAAAGAGAAAGAGCGAGGATACAAAAATGATCCCTAATAATGCTCTGCTGGAGTTCACACTGCTGAGCATGGAGTAGCTCAGCATCAGGAAGAAGCTGGGCTTGGGATTCAAATTGGCTATTTGGCTGGCATCACTCCAGCCATTCTCCATCCCACCAGACCAATATGGCCTGATACTCCAAGGAATGAATTTCAGGGAAGAGAGAAAACCCCACATGTGAACATTTAGAGCACCGGGACGGAAAAATAAATCATCTGGAGCTGATTAGGCCAGATGCTAGCTTGGAAGTTATTCCTGTTGGGTTTTGCCTCTTGCAATAGTTTTCCTTTTGTGGCAGAGCTGGAGCTACTATATGAACTTGGTTAACCCATAACACCATTTGGTGAAGTTTAAGCCAAGTCTAGTAGATAGGGCTCTCTTCATTGCATTGGTGCTGTGATGAGCTAGAACACACCTGGAAAGCTTCTGCAGAGCAGGAGGTCAGTGCATGCCTTTTGGGAAGACCGGCTTTTTGGTTGCTGGGCAGTGGATTTTCAAGGACACCTACGTATGTCAAACAGTGTGTTTTCCTCACAGATACCATCAAAACATTATGAAGTGAATCAGCATCATTATTCATATTTGGAGGTGGGAAACTGAGGCACGGAAAAGGTAAACAGCCCATGAAAGCCCATTGCTGCAGCTGTACATACAGCACACCAGGCCACGCTGACACTGGCAACCCAGCTGGATTTCGGATGCCATCTCTACTTTGAAGATGGCTTCTCTGCTGGCTGAATAAAGGGGAACCAGGGTCCCACTCCAGCCCTTAGTGTCAGAGGGAAATATTTTTTTCCCTGTTTTGCCACATCAGCGAGTTCTTTGAGTCACCACCTATATTTAGGGTGGGGGGAAGTGAGAAATGAATCAGTGCTGCGGGGCTAGGGAAGAAACGGTACTGCTACCCCCACGCCAGGCCTTCGGAGAGGACAGGAAACACATTGCAAATGGCTATCTGTGCTTAGGGGGCTCTGCACCCCGCTCCGGCCCCTATCCAGGGCTATTCTCCCACTTCTGCTTTCCTTCCCGGTTGCTAACCCATCCCCAACATCTTAAAGGGACAAGACACCCAGGTTCAAATAATAGCAGGTAGAAAGGTAGCTGCCCATACTTATCAACGCATTGCTCTTTGTAGAGGAGGTCACTGCAGGCAGTGCTCCTCTTGGGTGGTGACAGCAGAAACGAGGGCTGACTTTGGTCTTGTGATGCCTCAAACTCCACAGCAGACTGCTCTGGACTCACAAGCACTCTTTAGTTGAAAGATTTGTTGTCCAAATGAACATAAAAACCCCTAACTCATCCAGAAGTGGGAGAGGGCAAAGCACCCTCTAATGGCACAGTTAGTCCAGCTGCACTTGTATATCGTTCAGGGGAAAGGGGAGTAGTGGCCAGATGTTACAGCCCTTGTTGCAGGGAGGAGAGAAGAGAAGAGAAGGCTGCTTACGGTCATGAGCAGCAAAGACAGTTTAAAGCAAATCTGTTCCCAGGTGCTGCCTTGGACACTGTCCCTGTAACGCAGCAGAAGCAGCATGCGCCCATCCTCATCCACCCCTGCTCACAGCTCATTTGGTGAGGAAGACTATGTCCAAGGTACAAATGTCTGTCCTGCACTACCAGCTGTGCTCAGCGCTGTAGCACCAGAGCCCATCCATCAGAGCTCAAAGAGCATCATTTAAGTAGTCTTGGGCTGATGCCTCCCTCCATGCAACGAAGGGTCAAGAATACAAGACTTGAGGCCCTGGAGAGCATTGCTGGTACGTGACAACAATGCAGTTGCCCAGGGGAAACCCAGACAAGGCCTGGATCAAATTCACTGCCCCTAGGGGAGCAGCAGAGGACAGGGAGCTTTGGAGCATGGAATATTTGACAGTTTATCTCCCCCCCCCCCCTTTTTTTTTTTTAATGCTTTTATCTTTCTGTGGAAACAGGAAAAGTCTCATTTATTCCCAGAGCGGAGAAAAACATATCCCAGAATCCTTTGCAAAGCAACATTTTCCACATATCTGAGGTACAATGTTGCTCCCTTTTTGCTAAACTGTTTTCTAGCAGGGCTTGACACATTTCTGTTGCTTCTACTCTCTATCTCTGGATGCTTTTCCCTCAACTACTCTCTGCTTTAGCTATCCCTCCATATCCAAGGCTTCAACACCATTTGATGGGGGAGCCAAGCTCTTTGACTCACAGCTGCATTCAAACTGGCTCAGGGAAACACCATGTTGTAACTAGTCCTTGGTTTGGCCACAGCAGGAAGACAAGAAAAACAAGAGTCATGTCACACCTTGTTGTTGTCAACCTCCAGTTACTACTGAGATGCTATGGCCAGAAAAGGCTCAGGGTAGGTGCTCTCCGTAACAGTGAAGAAGCAGCCAGAAGCCTTCAGGCTGTCACTGGAGACTCCCATCAATGGCACAACCACCACACAAGCGGAGTGAGGACAGACAGGGCAAAGACATTAGATGCAGGACAATGCCAGGTGAAGGCCACCCAAGTGTCCACTCCTTCATGGGTGCTGTGGAATGAGTCAGACCAGCAGGTCCTTTTCCAGAATGGGGAAGCAGGGCTGCTGGGGGAGGCTTTCTCGCTGCTGACCAGTGTGCAATCTTGCACGAAGCCCAGGGATGTCTCTCTGCTGCTCTCCAGCAGCTTCCGCAGCATTGCCGGTAACTGCTGGCCAAAGGTTTTACCACACTTGGGTTGTGTAACCATGACCTCTAGTTACAGCTGCAGGCTCTGTCCCTGCCTCTCCCATGCCAGCCAAAACATTGCTTTCCTCTGCTGAGGGTGTGGAAATGGTGAGGAAGGAGAAGTGAAGGCTGGTAAGACAGAAGGGCTCAAGAACCTTACCATAGAAGCCAGTCATCAGGACCTGGACTTGGTCCTGGGGGATAACTGGGCTAAGGTCTGGCCCTGGGAGGGACCCATACCAGGCCTGAGCTCCCCTTGCTCCCTCCTCAACGATGGGAGGGAAAAGATTTCTTTCTGAGAACACCTTCCCCAGAATCATCTACAGTATCTGGGAGCAGGGGATAGGGAAAAGGGTACTTATCACATCTCTGCCTGGGACTTCTACCTCAGAGGTTTAGATTCGTCCACAACAAGAAAACAAAAGAAATCCCAGGAAGACCTCTCAAGAAGGCCAAGAACACACACGCGAGCTGATCAGGTTTCAAATCCTTCCTCTGCTTGATCCGAAGCTGGGATCTGATCCCTTGACACTCCCCCAGCAAGAGCCCAGATCACCATGGTCATACCACATCAGCCCTGGGTACTCTCAGGAGATGCACTTGCAATCCAAGAAGTAGGAGAAGGAAGTCAGGCTCTGGCTCCAGCTTGAGGCTATTGCTCTGGACAACCTTGGCATGCTGCAGCTTTGTGCTGCAGATGGCCAACAGCAATGGTACTCAAAAATGTGTGTCTAACAACCTGACATGGCAGACAGTGCCTGAAAAGGATGTCACAGCTGGTGACCTGCATTGCCCCGTGCCTCAAGGAACCTTTAGAGAGACAGATATCATTATGATGTCTCACAAATCTACATCAGACCTGCCTAGTCCCTATTATCTTAAAAACAAAACAAAACAAAACGACATAAGAAATCAAAAACTCTGCAGCCTTCACAACCCAGTTCCCACCACAGCACACCTGGAAAAAGTCTGCTCAGCATGTCAAAGAAAGACGTGACTTGAAGTGAAGTATCATGCAGTGCAACAGTGAGAAGAATGCAAATTTTCTGGGCTGAAAATATGAACCCAGCAGTGGCTCAAGAAGGACCCACTGCCTCCCTGTTACATGTTGAATGCTTTCCCTCCGAGATTGTCCCCTTCCAGGGGGGACTTCCCACCATAGTCTCATCATGTGGGGAGTGAGCTCAAAAGGATAGTGAAGGAAAGTGTCACACAAGATCCAAGAGGCTGCCAGCACTTAAGGCACGATATCAGCAATACTAGTTTCTGTCTGTTTGGTTGCAAACCTCAGAACAGGCTTAGTGACTCTTGAGGTTGATGGTTATCATCTCTTGGCCATCTCTGCAGCCTCAAAAACCAGGCGTATTCACCTTTCCCTTCTTGGCTGCCTGAGTTCTGTTTCCATCACAAGGTCTAACACCTGGCTCTACAGCCCTGTTGTGTATGCCAGCACCACCCAAAAACAGCAATCCTCAAACATCTCAGCTGGGCACAAGATGCATTGGAAGGTGCCGATGCAGCCAACTTTCCCAACCCTTTCACCTGCAGGCCAAGCATCTCCAGCTCTTGCCCCATTTGGGCAAAGGGTTATTTCAGAGACAGCTTCCCTCAGGACACAGCTTCTGCTGACCCTCCTAACCCCTGCCCAGACCCAAACAGCGGGAAGTTTTCCTTTCCTCTCTCTCCACTGCTGAGGAGATGCTACGTGCACCTTTCCATACCCCTTGCTTGGCCTTATCCTGGCAGTGCTGCAGGCAGCCAACAGCCAGCCTTCAGCACAGCTGGCTCCAGAGCCAACAGAGACAAGTAACACACCCTCTTTCCACCACTGTCCTCCCTCTGTAATGACATAGTTCTGGACAGTCTTCAGGAAGCTGCTACAGCCAAGTCTGCACTAAAAACCAAGCTGATGTCTGTTCCCTGCTGTGCCATGGAGCAGACATGTTCTCTTGCCTGCTCCCTGCCTATGCCAAAGCTCATTGAACCTGCCCATAGCAGTGGTGGCTGCCTCATGAAGCAGGGACCATCCCAGCCCACAGCAGGCTTTTGGTAGACAGGACTGGGAGCCCAGCTTCACTCTCCACCAGGAGCCGAGTACCCATTAGTCCAACTTCAGCGTTGCCCCATCCCCACCAAGGCTGTCGCCCTTCCTCAGCCAAGGAGGGATAGAGCACTCACACCAGACACCCAGGAAACCCTCACCGCATCCCAAACCTGCCCCAGAGTGACATGGGGACACCGTAGGGCTTTGGGGAGGGCAGTGGACCTACCGTGCCAGACGCCAGCTGCGGTAAGCAGCAGGAGGAGAGCAGGACCCATGTCCCCAGGGACCGCGGTGCCCCCAGCGTGGAGCAGGGACGTGGCTGAAGGATCCTCTCAAGCGGCGGGCGCCTCTCCTTGCGGGCACCGTCCCCAACGCCCCCTTGGCAGGAGCTTCTCCTTTCTGAGTTGACCACGAGTTAAGAAATTCCCTTTTTTTGTTTGTTTTTGAAATGGGAGGGAGGAAAAAAAAAAAAGCGATGCTTTGAGACGTCACTGGTGACAAACCCCCTTGGCAGAGGTGGGGCCATGTACGCACCCCACTGCGGGGCCCCCCCATTGCAGGGCCCCCCGCCTGCCTCGGGGATGGGGTTCAGCCCCAGACCGCGCCCCAGGGCTGTCAGGGGCCACTGCACCACGCTGGGGGTCAGGACAATCCTGATGTGCCCTGGCTACTGCCACCCAAACCACCAGGGAATACTGCACTCTTTCAGGGGACTACTCCACGCTTTCCTCTTGCCTGGGGACACAAAGAGCCTGGCTGGGACCTGCCTTGATGGCAGGAGACTCCATTTTACCTCAGCAGGACAAGGTTTACCTCAGACCCGGTGAATCTTGCTTGCTTCAGGTCCTCAGGACCCACACAGGAACATGGCTGACTCCCTCACAAGAAGTCCACAAAGATGTTCCAGCCTGGGGCAGCTCCCAGGTAGGAAAAGGCCTGTGAAGATGACAAATTATTTTGTTTTAACCAAGAGCATGATCCCTGGTGCAGAGTGGGGTCTTGTGGCTACAGAGGACCACTCCCAAACCCCACTCCAGCACCATGCAGGGGCAGGGTCAAGCCCAGCCAGCTGCAGGCTTGCCTTCACCTCCCTCACCAGCAGGGACACATGTTGGGGTCCAGCCTGCAGACCCTTCCCTGTCCCCAGCTGGGCTGGGCGACACAAGGAGGATCCCAGCTCTTCTCCTCTCCCAGTACCTCCAAGCCTGGGGCTCACAGCAACCCTGTCACCATCAGGCAGCCACAGAGCTCAAGCAGGGACCCTTCCTCTCCAGGAGCCCATCTCACCCAGCCATACTACCTTGCTGGTGGGGAGGCTTTCTGAAGCTGTTTTCTGATTGACAACCTGGCAGGCACCTGGGAGTGGTAATTAGGCACTTCGTTAACCCTCCCCTGGACCACACCTCTTCCAAAACAAGGGGTGAGGGTAGGCTTGAAGCAAAAGAGTTCTCCTAGGGACACTCAAGTCAGCAAGATGTTAGCAGATCGAGTCAGACACAGGGTGCCCCCTGCTCTCTGCTCTGTCTCTGGATAACCTCATGCTGCAGCAGAAGTTCACGACAGTTCGTGGCAGCTCTGGGGTGGGAAGTTATGGCCACCACCTGACAGTGCTGGGAAGCACAAGGGAGGAAGGTCCTGCCTCGGGCAAGCCCAAGGGCTCTGCCTTAGCTGCACCCATTGATGGGGAGGTGACAGGGACACTGGCTGCGAAACGTGGGTGGAAGGAGATAGGCTTTTCCAAAATGTCTGCACAGAGGTGGTTGTTGAATCTGCGCTTGCAATGCAAAGATGCCAGGCGGAGGATTGCCCTTCATGCCTCCACAAACTGGAGGGGAATGGGCTTCTCCAAAGGGGGCAATTAGAGAGGTACCAGCAAGACAAGGTCTTGGGGCCAAGAGATGAGAGCATGGCTGACTGTGCTGGAGATGATTAAGAGTCATGGGAATGTGGAAAGAGCTCTTGGTTTTGGCCAGAAGGATAGCTGGAGAGTGTGAGGGAGTCCAGAGAGGAGGAAAGGCAGCTTTTGGCCAGAGATTTCCTCTCAGCAGTTTTTCCTGGCAGGATGTGGGGATAGAGGCAGCATGCTGCGCTGGGGGACTCCTGCCCAGAGCTGGGGGACCGTCGAGCGGCTGGGCCGCAGGAGACGTCTGCCTGATTATTCTTTCCTCCTTTTGAGCCAAAGGGGCTTTTTAAAGGATGTTTGTTTCCCTCCTTCTTCTTCTTAATTTTTTTTTTTTCCAGGAACAAATGCCAGCTCAGAGAGAACTGACTCACCAGTGTGAACAAGTATTAAACTTGTATTAAAGATAGGTTTAATACAGAGAAGGGAAACAACCTCTCAGCCTCCCTTCTTCTCTTTGAGGAGGCCCCTTGCAGAGCATCTCTGATGGTAGTGGTCCACAGGTGACAAGTCACAGCCTGTACACACAGGTGCGCAAGCTGGGCTGGGCACACCTGGGGATGCTCAGTGGGACAAGCTGGGGTTCGTTCCTCATTGGTGGCCATCTCTTCCTGCCTATAGGCTGCACCCCAAATCCTGTGGTTGCCAGCAGCAGCTCAGGCACAGGAGTGCTGCTGGGGCTCATGTGCCCAAGCAGCTCTGAGCAAGGGGCAGGGATGCTCTCAGAGGAGCTGCAGCCTTACTTTGAGTCACTTGAAGCCCAGGGATGTCTGTGGAGGCCCCGATGGCCAGGAAGGTGCGCTGGGAGATGGCATGAGACTTGCTCAGTGCCTTGCTGGCTGCAGGCTGGCTGTGGAGGGAAGAGTGGGAGGCTGCTGTGAGCCCTGGTTGGGAGCACTGGGAGCTCAGGCTTGTTTTCCAGGCGAGGAGTGGGGCCCTACAGCCCTACAGGACCCTTGCACTGAGTACAGCTGGCCATGGTGTCATGCCTGCCTGTACTGCTCTGCAGCAATCTGGCGACACATGTGAAACACCCATGTCCCAGGAGAGCTGCTGGTACCCAAACAGCTAAAAACCCTGGTTGCAGCAGGCCAGGGTTTGTCTCTGCAGTCTGAGTTTCTCTGCTTCCCTGAGCTTTTCCATGAGGTGTCTGTCTCATCACTGGAGAGGACACTTGTTTCGGGGTGGGGAAAATGCCCTGCTGGGAGGCTGGTAGTCCCCATGTCTGCCTACTCATTCCCAGCCCCGTGACCCCTCCTTGGTGCATCCTGACATGCAAAAGGCCTGCCAGGCAGGGATCGGGCAGTGGGAGCCAGCTGGGTTCAGGGCTGAGGTCTACCAATTCCCCCTCCCTGCTCCCCCCCAAGCCTTTGCTGCAGCCTCTCTGGAGACAAGGTGATTTTTTTCCATGCTGATTCAGCTCCTGGAGAAAAATGCCCTGTCTGCCTCTCATGGCTGAGCCGTGCCAGGTGACTCAGAGCATATCTGGGGAGAATCAGCCTGAGCTGGTCAGGGAGCCTGCAAACCTCCTCTCCGGCAAACTGAGCAAAGACAGGAGCCCAGGACAGGCCGTGCTGGAGAGGGGAGCCTTCCTGGGGCTTGGACCTGTCTCCTGCTGCAGCTGGTGCCTTGGGTTTTTCGGTACATGAAGGGTTTCCAGGAAATGAGGGAGGCATGACTGCTGCCGGGGGGACTTGCACTGGGGCTGCATCATGCAGCCTGAAAACAGGGTCAACATCGATATATTTAAACCTCAGTTCAAAACCCACTGTTAGCAGCAATCCCGGGCTTTCCAAGCATGTGGCTCAGAGCTGGCTGCAAACAGCTCCGCTCAGCAGCCTGGGGTCATTTTCGAGAGGAGCAGTTTCATTGGAGCCAGAGAGAGGAGAAAACTTTGGGCTGGACTCAGGAGGTGCCTGTCTCTCATGGGGCTGGGGAACCCCAGCACTTCTGGAGAGGTGACTGGGAGACCTCTTGCACTGGGGATACACAGGGGAACTGTTCCCGGTGTCCTTCCCTCTACTCACCTCCTCCCAGTGCAACACGACCCACAGGCTGGCCAGTTACCAGAGAGATGGGGCAGATCCTTCCCTGTTCGCAGCCCCTTTTCCTTACCACGTCTCTGGGCTCAGCTGTTGCCTTGCCGTGCTTCTCTCTGCCTGGCTCCCAGCTTGGCTTTCGCTAAGCGTTGGAGTCATGCACAGCGTATTAACATGCTTAGCCTTCACCCACCACATGGCTAAGCTGTATTCCCAGCCCCATCTGAGTGTGAAAAGGTGGCAGCAACCAAAACCAGGCAAATAAAAGAAGAGATGGAACTTTGCAAAAAGAAAAACACCTTTATTTTTAAACTCTTTCTTTAAAAACGTATTTGTAAAAGTTTATGGCATAAAAATAATATCTCATGGCTATAGATGTGACATAGTACAAATCCTACAATACATCTGTAAACCTAGGAAAATGTTAACTCTTTGGTACCTTAGTTCCGAACTCTGTTTTTTCCTTTGCCCTCGGGATGGGGATGGTTTCTGACAGACAGCGTGGAGGCAGGTGCTGCTTCTGTTCAGAGATGCTGCAGAGTAACAGCGTGATGCCAGCACAGCAGGAGGGGCATGCTTTGGGCAAGCCTTGCAGTTATGGTGCAATCCATGAAGGAGGACAGGACAAGAACAATGGGACGCTGCAGGCCTCCCAGCACGAGTTGGCTTCCCTGCCTCCTCCCACCCCTGCAAGAGTCATCTCTCCAAGTGCCGCTGGAGCTGAACTGGAGCAGTTCCCTTGCCTTTGCCAAAGCCAACTGGATCCATCTTGGCATGTCCCAGAGACTTCAGCCCTCCAGGTGAAACATGGGAATTATGCTGGGAGCCCAGCAACCTGTGTGCTGACCCATGAAATCTGATTTTTGAACGATGCCTGGCCTTCCCTGGGCAAGTCCCTCAGACAACATCGTACCTCCACCATTACATTCAGCCCTGGCCGCTCAGCATCCAGGCTGGGCTGGGGTCTGCTGCAGAAAGGACCTGTGCATGGCCCAGGAGCTGCCTGGTGCCCAGTGAGGACCTGCAGGTGCCCTGGCTGCTCTCTGCCTGCGCAACCACCTGGGGCAAAGGCTGCCAAAAGGCTGCCAAGGGCTGCCAAAGGGCAACCTTCATGTTCTCCAAGCAGGAGCTCCCTGGGGCTGGCTTGGCAGCCCGCTGCTCTCCTGTCCACGTGGGACATCCTATGGTCTGCACTGTGAACTGGCCAAACAGGTCCTGGGGTTTGAGCTAAGCACTGAGCCCGGCCAGAGCCCTGCCTCGCGCCTGTGCGTTGGAGCATGGGGTTTGCCTCCTTAGCACATTAGCTGACATCTCATTTTAGAAAAAGCCCCCGAAA